GCAAACACGCACTCTGGAACTGCAAAATATTTTCAACCAATCTACGAATTTGTCCCACTTTCTCTTAAAGGTAGAAATTGACGTAAAAGTATTTTGGGTCGCAAGTTTGCGTAATTCATTTATACTTTAGTCGATGAGAGTGCCATTATTGGCTATCTGGCCTTGTACCCTTAGAAATCGAATAATTTTATGAAAGGACCAAAGAAGAAGTTCTCAGAGGACAGTATCGTCGGAATCCATATACAAAATCAACTTTCTATACGGTCTAATTAGTGTAGTTGCTTTCTCCTTTAACTTTCTTCTTTACCTCTTACACTGTGTCCAAGATAAGGATGTGAATCATGAGGATCTCGACCATAGAATGATGATTAAATGAGCAAAAAGTTAAAAGTATTAAATGCAGTAAAGAAAACCAGAAAATTCAGATTACTTCCGAAGATATGGCAGAAAAACCGAAATTTACCGATTTCATTTTAATTTTCTTCTGATGTTATTTGAACAGATAAAAAACACTGTACTTTGCCACTTGTTGAGCTCTACAAGACAGAAATTTTCCATACACCGTTTCTCTTCGGAAAAAAGTTGATTATTTTGTATGGTCTGCAAAAAGGTACATCCTGTTTAGAGTAGCATTCTTTATTACGAATACAACGAGGAACCTTACAAAAAAAAAACAAACGTTGGTTTCAAGAGGATGGTGCATCCGCACACAAAGCACTATAAAATATAGTGTGAGAATATCAATGGGACAAAACTTGTACAATTTTCAAAACTCTTACCGCAAAATAGCACACTCCTAAAGGTTCGCAAGTTTTACTTTTAAATACGAACGAAGAAATTACAACTGGAATTTTGAAAAACTAATTGTGGATTTGATATTTACTAGCTTTTTGAAATCAGCATTGCTTGTGTGGAAATGGCTTTACCCGAACACCTACGTTAACTCAATTCTGTGTGTTATGATTACTGGAACACACTACAGACAGACGGAGAGGATAAGATTATGTATTTGACAGTTTAAAGTAAAAATCCGAATCTCTTTCATAGATGCAATGCATTTGACCTTTGCAATAAAATTGGGATACAGGTAAAAAATTTGAGTTTCTTAGGCCAGGTGCAAGATCAAAACGTTAAATGTGAGTTCGATGCATTTGAACAGGCTTGGTATCAAGTGAAACCCTGCTTATTTCTACGTTATTTACACGTAATAAATTTATTTTGAAAATATATTTGAACACCGTTACGTACGTACGTGATATACGGAGCAGTATGTTGTCATTTCTTATGAATCGACCTATGTATGAAGAATGACAATGGATATTTCTCTGGATAAAACAATTTAAAGGGAGTATTACTAGTCTCCTTAATTGGTTTTGTACAAAAACCTTATTGCAATTATTATTGTACAGTACACGTTTCCTGTATCTACTTACATGTAGGAAAAACATTTAAAGCAGTAAGAAATAAATTAACTGTTCCAGTCAAAGCTAATTAGAAATTAGGGAAATGATTTGTCTTCGGACGTGTTAAAAAATTAATTCACTGATTTAGGCAGCACTAATTAGAAATCCTAGCGAAAAAGTTGTTTGAACTATACAATTTAAATATATAGTCAGAGCTGAGTAGAATAATTTCAAAAACTATTTGAATGCTAAATGCACATGATACGTACGCCTTTCTGAAATTAATCCTAGCGATTTTGGAACAGATCCATTTTTGACCATCCGTTTGTCCGTGTGCATGATAACTTGTTTAGAAACGTGCGATCGCTTTGAAAATTGGTACATATGGTCTTAAGGATATAAGAAAGGTCCCTATTGTTTTTAAGTTAAGTAGACTATCGAGTTCGGTATTCAGATGTATCGGATTTTTATATTTGATTTTGTGACAATGGAAACTTTCCCTAAACATTTCTAAATTGTTCTCAAATATTTGAATAACTTAAAAGTACTGCCTTTTTTTGAGGCCCGCAAAAAAAATTGTCTCCGATCGACCCGGAAAAAATTTCCTTATAGAATGTGGCCTGTAGAATCCATATTTTCAAACAGTTCCAAGATTGGGCTACTAGTTCAAAAGTTACAGCCCTTTGAATTTTCTTTCGAAATTGGTTTCTAGTCTATAACTTTTGATTGAGAAGTCTGATCGAAAAAGTACGAATTGTTTTGGATTCTACGCACCAAAATTAATAAGAAAAAGTGTTTTCCCGAGAAATTTTGGTGCAGTGGATTTTTGGTAAAAAAGGAAGGTTGTACACTGGCTTTTTTTGAGGTCCGAAGAAAAAATTGTCCCAGATCAACCCGGAAAAAAATTTTCTTATAGAATGTGGCCTGTAGAATCCATAATTTCAAACAGTTCCAAGATTGGTCTGCTAGTTCAAAAGTTACAGCCCTTTGAATTTTCTTTCGAAATTGGTTTCTTTTCTAGTCTATAACTTTTGATTGAGAAGTCTGATCGAAAAAGTACGACTTGTTTTGGATTCTACGCTCCAAAATTAATAAGAAAAAGTGTTTTCCCGAGAAATTTTGGAGTAGTCGATTTTTGGTAAAAAAAGGAAGTTTAAGTATTCAAACACTATGCGAAGTATTCGCTACTTCGCATACTAAATATTTGTGAAAGTATTTGAGTTACAAATACAAATACTGTTTCCATAAAAGTATTTAATTACAAAGTATTTGAATACTTTAAAGGATTTAAATACTAAAAAGTATTTACAAAATCGAATACTGCCCAGCTCTGTATATAGTAAAGAAGCAAAACAATTCACTACATTGCCCAAGAAAAATCACTTAAACTAGTGAATTTATTTTGTAATAGTCGAGACATTTGTTGATTTCTAAAATTTAATTGAATTACGCTAGGAAAGACACTACGCAATTAATTAGAAGTACCAGTAGATTCATCGACTGCGCTAGAGCAATTTAATATGCAAACCGAGATTACTTAATTCCCCTGTCAGCCAATAGCCTATTAGAAAAAAAAATTGTATGGTGTAGGCAAAATTTTAATTGTCACTATAGTGCCTATGTATTTTCGCTAGGCTAACCAAGCTTTTTTTGTGTGTGATCCATATGACAATACCTATCCAAGTTTTCCAAGCCTTTTCGCTGGTGGATGGCGATTCCAATGTGAACTTGAACGTATTTTAAGATTAAGAATTTAAGACCAAACAAAAGCTCAAAAGCTTTTATATTTTTTTGTTGAGCAGTTCGCACCTAGTGCCTCAACGACCATTTTAGTTTGATTGTTGCTTTAAAGCTTGAATATGGAAATGGAATTATAGTCTGTCACCAGATAATGTGAAAACTTTTACATAACTTTGAGTTCATAAAAGAACAGAATTACATTATAGGATTATTTTGACACGCAGTGCCAAAAGTCGCTTAAGATTTGAAATGGCGACCATTGCCTAATATTAATGATATGATGACCTGTTATAACTCTGGCTACAACGTCCAAAATTCATAGGTCAATAATATTAGAATAAGGGCCCGTAATTTTTTATAGTTAATTGTTTTAGTCTTGTAGACAAATAGAGGCAAGCCAAGTTGACAGTTGATTACTACATTGTTGGTGATACATTAACAGTATCTGATCCCCATAGCAATTTACGCATAAGGAACACCAACACTTTGTCTAGTTTTATGCACGCCTGCTTGAATGTGTGAAGTGGGTAATGCAGGAAATGAAAACTGAACTGATGGACATCCAGAAGAATGAAAAATTGCAATCTATTCAAAGATATGCCACGATTGCCATGGTTGGCAAGAAAAAAATTAAAGAAGAAATGCAAATTTCACAATGTTGCCAATGAGTTATGAGAAGTAGCAAAAAAATGGAGTACTTTTAGCGAAATCCACCAAAATGTGAATTGCGGGTGAACTTCACACATTCAAGCAGGCGTGTATAAAACTAGAGAGAGTTATAATAGGTCATAATATCATTAATATTAGGCAATGGTCGCCAATTCTAATCTTAAGAGACTTTTGGCACTGCGTGTCAAAATAATCCTATAAGGTAACTCTGTTCTTTTATCAACTAGGCGCACTGAACAGCAAAAAATATAAAAGCTTTTGAGCTTTTGTTTGGTCTTAAATTCTTAATCCCGAAAAGGTTTAAAATACGTTCAAGTCCACATTATCCAACAGGGAAAAGGCATGGAAAACTTGGGTAGGTATTGTCATATGGAAAATGAGCTCTACTTGCGCGGTTCCGCTCCAAGAACAACCCATTTTGCAGACAGTTAAACATTCTATCAGCTGCTAACGTTAAAAAAGTGGAATAGACAATAGCTACACTTTGCTTTGAAAAAATGCGACAAAACGAACGTGTCAAGATCTGCGTTTTATAGATCTACAACACCTTGAGATAATACTAAGCTCTCTTCTGTAAATAATACTTGTAGCTATAGGACAAATTCATGTTTCCATTCTACAGTATAAATCAGATGCAGATTAGCATACATATTGTATTGATACAGGGATTTAATTATTGCATCTTTACTTGTTCACGGGCATTTTATGAAAGGCAGTTGATTAGTTTTAAACTTTCCTTCAACGGTATCTGTTGGCAAAGGGCCGCTCCGCCTTAACTCTTTGCCAAAGGATACACTATCTATTGCCACTTTAATCGAAGCTTTTGTTAACACACAACCGCAATGCCCTGTTCAAACCCAGGCTTTTACTTTCAACCAGATTGTTTTTTGCATTATTAACAGTTCCCAAGTGTGTCATATTTGTCCACTCTCAAAATTAACTGTGTGTGCAGTTGTACACTAATCACATTTAAATATGCGCTTTCACAGAGTCTTGTTAAGAATAAATAAAGGATTAATTTCCCCCCCCCCCCCAATTGCGTGGGACTTTTGGCACGATAATACAATGATGACGTCCCCGAAGCAATCCCTCCTCTTCGGCAACTACGTCTTCATTGGAGCTTTTATTCCTTCTCCACGCCGGGGGCAGTAGGATAAACAGGTATATTAAGAACCGATAGTCCTTTAGGATTACCAGAACGCACTGTGATCCTGTTAAGTGAATATAGTGGACATCATGCTGGGTCATGTCGTTTTTGCTGCCCTTCTCATCGTATTCGAACCCCTTGTCGCGTTTCCATCGGTAAGTACGTTGTAATTTTTCTCCAATTTGTGCTTAATTCGCCTCTTTGCCTTACGAAGGGTGTAATTATGGCTCGGTTATAAGCTACTTAATGGATTAAAACTGCGGTATGGTATGGTACATAAAACTGATAGCTACAATTTCAATTATCTCTTTGCGTTCCTAAAAATTCTCTTCCAGAAACTTTGTTTTACCGAACTTTATGTGCGAAAAAGTTCGTGCGCGAATATTTTATGCGCGTATTATAGTTAGAAAATGAAAGCGAAATTTGCATTTAGTGTTCTTTTGTTTTCTCCTGCCAGAAATCGGTTTCGTTTTTCGCATACGGAATCGGAATGAAACGATTACCAGCTCAGGCTTGTTTAGTATATTTATGGTGGCGGAAATTTGAATGTCGGGTATTTATAAAAGGACGATTATGGATGAAGAATGTACAGGAAATGGAAACAGATTTTTTAAACATGGAACACAGCTTTTTCATTTTACTAATTTATGTTCTTATTAACACTGCTCACTCCATTTATAGGACTGCAAGTGTACACAAGGATTTTTCCACGGAGTAAAGCGTGCGAAAATGCCAACCCTTAATGTGATGTTAGAGTCTTTAAAGCTTAGTGTTACTGTATGCATTTCTCATTTTCAAAATTGTGTGGTTTAGGTACAGCGTACTTGGGTTACGCGTTGAAAACAAATTTAATTACTCGCTGTCCCACGGAAAGCTTTCCATTTATGTATTTTATTTCAAAGAAAAGGTTCAACATACGCAAACGAATTCCTTTCCCGTTCTAAATAAAATGCGCTAACTATTTAAAAAGAAATATAAATTTTACAAACGCCATAACAGGCAGTATTCATTTTGTACAATGAAAAATGTTGTTTCTGATTCTTCATATCCACCAGATTCTTTAAACTTTCACGATTGTTCATCCCAGTTTCAAATCATTCAAGATTGACTAAGATTTTAAATATTGCCCTCCGTCGTTTGAATATCTGAAGAAATTCTTTTAGTCTTCCAAACAAGAAGTTAAAACAATCATCATGAGCCGTATAATATATAAAAGCTCAATTCTTTGGATACATTATCGCGTTAGAGCGTGGCAGCTCTTAATCTTAATCTTTATTACCTATGTCAGAGTAATTTGAAGATTACACACATTCGTCATACACATAATAGAAAAATCAACAAATAAGTAATAAACTAGTAATAATAATTCTGGAATTAAGGAGTTGACCTGGCAAAGAATTCATTTAAATAATTATAATATGGGTTTTCTACAAGGTATCTCTTTATTGCTCTTTTAAACGGGTAATAAGGTAAGTGTTTATTGGTCTTTGGTAGGTAATTATAGATCTATAGATCTGAGCTATAGGCTCTGAGTTTCAGCCGGATACGGATCAAAAAAGAGGCTGCTAGTTTGAAATAATTGAAAATTAAGTTTTTTTTAAATTGGCATTGCATGTTATTAACCTTAAGTTAAGTTAGAAAAGCGTGGCTAGTTTTCCAGGCTTGGCGTCCTTTCAAGTCATAGTCAATCTACGACTTATATTTACGTCATGGAAACCCCTTGAAAAATCAGCTATACAGGGTGGGCCATTAGTGCGTGGGTGGAAGATTTTGGGTTTATAGGTATTTAAAATTCACAACTACAACTTAAAAATATTTCAAACGGAATTGCAAACGTTATACAGGGCGATTTATATCAAATTTGTATATTATTAAAATGTATTATTTTTCTTCTATTTTTGTTCAAACATTTTATTTTGTTTTTCGTTGCGTTTTATAATTTGAATTGAGGTTTATTATTTTTAATGGATTACTATTACTGGGAAGCTTTGAAAATCGAAACACACTATCAATTATTAGGAACTGTTGAATTACAAACATATGTAAAGGGTATATAGGCCGACCGACATGCTTTATATCCTTAGACATGTAATCAAATCCTACATTTGATGCAATAATAAAACAAAAACTTGGTAGTTCCATTTAAAAAAATCAAGTTACTTTTGATTTAAACGAATCAGTTGATTTGTACCGACATACTTGCAAAGTGAAAGGTTTCTACGAAAAGTATAGAGCTCCACCATATCTAGAAGCGATAGAGAAAAGAGAAAATGATGCTCTGCTCAAAGAACTAAAGAAGGTCGAAATAAATTTTAATTATTGACCATTATTTCCCGATCCTCCGTGATATTTTTATAGCGCATTTTTTAACACATGGATTCATTCTTCATGGTACTCTAATTTAAGGTCTCAACGAAAAAAAATTATTTCTCCCAACCATAGTGCTCCTCGCATCCTTATCCGACTGGTTATAAGGACTGGCAAAGGACGATTGGGACTTTTGGAAGAAATATATCTATGGCTTAATTGTTAATATTTCAAAAGTGTTGGGGGAAAGTACCTACAATGGAAAAAACAATATTTAGGAGAATTTCCCAAAAGGCTTCATTCTTCTTGCATTATACAGTGATATTCATGTAGAAGTAGACATAGGGATTCCCTATAGGAATTTCCTATGTCTACTTTTAAATGATAAAAAGTCTTCTGAAGGACGCCTAACTTTATGCAACCAAAATAACTACCTACAACAAATGAAGATCTGCCTGTCATATTAATTAATTTGAATATTATCGCTTTGACTACCGTATTCTAATTTTCGTTCGTGTGCGATGTATTCAATTGAAGAAAAAGTTGATATTTCTAATTGGTATAGTGCCAGTTACAGTTAAAGGAGCTTAAGAGATTTTATTTTCTGTGAAGCCAAAGCAACAATATTCAAATTAATAATTAATATGACAGCGAGATCTTTATTTGTTTCAAAAAGTCATTTTGGTTGCCTAAAATTAGGCGACCCGCAGAAGACTTTTTATCATTTGAAACTAGACATAGGAAATCCCTATATTTATGCTAAATTTATCCTTTTGTAAGTACCTTCCTCCGCGACACTCTCTCTTTAGATATTGACATTTAAGTTCTCACATCGCCAGTAGATAATATGTCTTGTCGTTCCAGTCGCCCTTTGATAGTCAATTCTTCCCATTCAGACTCGCTTTAGCTTTATTGCGTAGATCACAAAATGCTTAATTACAACAAATCTAAATTAGAAAAATGTATGGTTGCAATGTAAATATGCCCGCGTAAGTATATTCGAAGATTAGCTAAAGAAGCGTACGTGAAAATAACATTTTTACGAAATTATGCTAACAAAAAGACGTTTGGGGTACCTCAGTTACCCCGCTTAGTTACGCGAGGGATCAAATCGATTAAAAAGGTGCATTTTTAAAGAGATTTTGAAGAGTGAGATCAGAGCTGGGCAGAATACTTTCAAAAAATATTTGAATACTAAACGTCCAGCACGAGCGAATACTAGATACAGATATATTGAAAAGTATTCAAATACTTAAAAAAATAAGTATTCAAATACTTTAGAATGTATTCGAATACTTTCAAAAGTATTCGAATACTTTCAAAAGTATTCTAATACTATCAAAGGTGAATACTTTGAAAAGTATTTCATTATCTTACTTTGATAAGTATTCGAATACAGTAAAAAGTATTAAAGTACTTGTCACTCAAATACATTAAAAATTTAAAATAGTATACTAAATAAAAGGCTTAATACTATTTAAAAAATCAAGTTATACTTTGTATGGGATTAGCTTTTTATATATTTCTATTGTTATATACAAATTTAAGGGGAGTAAAAGAGTATTATTATTATATTATTAAAGTACCATATATAGGAGGTACCTACCAGGACCTTTCTTATACCAGTTATATCCTTAAGAATACGTGTACCAGTTTTCAAAGCGATCGTACGTCTGCACATGATACGTACGCCTTTCTGAAAATAATCCTAGCGATTTTGGAACAGATCCATTTTTGACCATCCGTTTGTCCGTGTGCATGATAGTTTGTTTAGAAACGTGTGATCGATTTGAAAATTGGTACATATGGTCTTAAGGATATAAGAAAGGTCCCTATTGTTTTTAAGTTACGTAGACTATCGAGTTCGGTATTCAGATCTATCGGATTTTTATATTTGATTTTGTGACAATGGAAACTTTCCCTAAACATTTCTAAATTGTTCTCAAATATTTGAAGAACTTAAAAGTACTGCCTTTTTTTGAGGCCGGAAAAAAAATTGTCTGCGATCTGCCGGGAAAAAACATTTTCTTATAGAATTTGGCCCTTAGAATCCATAATTTCAAACAGTTTTGAAGATTGGGCTACTAGTTCAAAAGTTACAGCCCTTTGAATTTTTTTTTGAAATTTGTTTTTTGTCCATAACTTTTTATTGAGAGGTTTAATCGAAAACGTACGAATTGTTTTGGATTCTACGCACCAAAATTAATAAGAAAAAATGTTTTCCCGAGAAATTTTGGTGTAGTCGATTTTTGGTAAAAAAGGAAGGTTATACACTGCCTTTTTTTGAGGCCCGCAAAAAAAATTGACTCAGATCGACCAGGAAAAAAAATTTTCTTATCGAATGTGGCCTGTAGAATCCATAATTTCAAACAGTTCCAAGATTGGGCTACTAGTTCAAAAGTTACAGCCCTTTGAATTTTCTTTCGAAATTGGTTTCTAGTCTAAAACTTTTGATTGAGAAGTTTAATCGAAAAAGTACGAATTGTTTTGGATTATACGCACCAAAATTAATAATAATAATAATAATAACAATAACCTATGCTGTTGACGCACACTGAAATAGGGCGTAACTACAGGAAAAAAGAAAAAAATAATAATAATAATAATAAATCGTATATTGGGTTTAACATGGAATACATAATCAGGTACATGAGCATGATCATTACAATTTCTTAGTCCTTCCAGTTTCCCCCAAGGGGTTAAGATTCAGATTGGTCAAAAATATTAACCATCTGGTCTATCACTCAGTCCCAATACGCCATAGAGAGGTATACTTCAGTCGTGGAAATCTACCTACATCCATTAAATTGTGAAAAGGAGAGAAACTTATCAGTCAATGATTTCTATT